TCTATATATATCTAAAAAAGATGATGAAATAGAGTACTCCATACCTCCTAGGGCGGTACTATTCATTAGTGAAGGAGATGATTATACTACTATACATGAGAATGTTCTAAATCATGTTAGAGGCGACGGATTTTCCGAAATTAAATTAATTCACGGAAAATTGTCAAAATATAAGAATTCGGTATATGTTGCTTCTAGATTATGGCCCATTCACGATGAGCGGACATGGCGTCATTTTTTCCGGATCGCTACAAATGAGTATGAGGAGTTTCACATTTACGTGGAAGCTTCAGCGACCCCCCCACAAAATTTGACGTTCCACGGAACTCCTGGAGAGGAAGGCCCATCATCAATATATGGTCGGAGGAACAACCGCCAAACGTTTCAGAACTACGAATCTCCCGGTATGTATTGTTCAAGTTAAGTAGAATTTACAATGATTTGATTTTATTTGTTGTCATTTTAAGAGTGTAGAAGTAGTTAATTTAGTAATTCCTAAAGTTTTTAATTAGATTGTTAAATTGGAATTTTAGAGTTAATGAGTATATATCACTGATTTTAGTAATATATGTATTAGTTAGTGTATTATATACTTAGGCTATCATACAAGTATATACTATTTGTAGTATAATATATTAAATAATACTAATATTATGCATAATTAGGCTAATTAATTACTCTATAATTTAATATCTTATAATAATATTATGCTATTAAATAATGAATTTTAGAGTTAAATTTAGCTATTAAATACTTGAAAGTTAGAAAGAGTGTTAAATTTAGAATTGGCCTTAAATTTTGGTTTTAGGAGTGTAGACGTAGTTCATTTAGTAATTTGTAAATGTTTTAATTTAGATTGTTAAATTGGAATTTTAGAGTTAAATTTTGCTATAAATTACTTCAAAGTTAGAAAGTGTGTTACATTTAGGATTTGCCTTAAATTTCGGTTTTAGGAGTATAGAAGTAGTTAATTTAGTAATTTGTAATTTGTTTTAATTTTGATTTGTGAAATTGGAATTTTAATTTAGTGTATATTATACTTAATATATCTTTGTAATTCAGATACAAATATTATCGAATTTTAACAGATAATCAAATAATTTTTATCTGATAAATTTTATCTGATTATATTTCCTTTATATTTCTCGCATCTACCGCATCTACCAAATTCATTATTTCCTTTATCTTTATGTGTGACTTTGTTATCTGTTGCAGTAGAAGTGGAGTCCAACTGCAATTAATCCAATTTCACGAAAACATACATAGATTTTAAATGGAAATAAAAAATGAATTTTCATGGTGTCGGAATTCTCAAATCCGACAGGGGTTTTTTATAGAAATTTTTATATGCCTATTTTAACTGCTGTCGAATTAAAATGTAAAAAAAAAAAAAAAACTTCCAGTCGGATAGAGCAATTCTGACAAGGGGGTGTTTTTTTAGAATTATTTTGTTTTATTTTAAAAAACTATATAAATTAAATTTTATATACTTACATTGTTATTGTAAGAAATTTTGTATTCCTATTTTAACTGCTGCGGAATTAAAATGTAAAAAAAAAAAAAAACTTCCAGTCAGATAGAGTTCCCTGACACGAGTGGGGCAAGAATACGATTGTACTTTTTGGAGGTCTTACAGGGTGACTTGGCTTTAGCCCGTCGATGGAGTTGGGGATTAGCGGTTCTCGGGTACCTCTACCATAACTTGTGCAACGGCGCCAAGTGGGAAACCAAACAAGTTGGCGGCTGTATGCATTTGTTACAGATTTGGGCTTGGTCGAGGATTTCGATGGTCCGTCCCTCAGTACTTCAGGTCATTCAACATGACCATCTTCCATATGGGTGCAGGTATGTTGGCAATTACATCTTAATAATTGAGAATGCTTTATATGACGTTACATTTTTTAACTTCATATCGGTAATCAATAAATGTAGGTGGATCGTCCCCAAGTCATATAAGGGATCCCCAAGACATTGCATACGCTTGTACCGGGATGACCTAGACCGCATGAGTGAGAGTCAGGTAGTACTTGAAATTTTTACTTCAACCGTACTATTCAATTTTCAATACACATTGTTTTATAGTTTTTAAATAGCAAATTAAACTTTTTACAGTTTGATTTCACTCCCTACGCGTCCGAGATACTCCCACCTCACATCCTTAATGACGCTCCGATTTGGTCGGCTAGGGTCATGCTCATATTTTGCAATATGGCCGAAATGCATTACCCCGATCGATTTCTTCGGCAGTTCTATATAAGGCAAGATATTCCGAATGCTCCTTTGACGGGTAGTGATAATCACGACAATCGTTCCGACATAGTAACCGGTGCCTTCGCGATGTGGGCGGACATACAACATAATATATACGTTCTTGATTATGATCGACATATGTCCCTCGAAGCAACTAATAGGTACCGAAACTGGTATAAGAAGCATGGTATGACACGTGTCCAGAACCCTTCTCACAATGTGCCCACGACAGGTTACACCCCAACAGCACACAATTGGGGTATTGTGGTAAGTTTTTGAATACATACCATATTCATTAACATATATCGTGTCATATATTATTTACACGTGTTACATTTTAATGCAGAAGCAAGGCGTTCACGAGGTGTATCAGCTCTAAGCCGACCGCGCGAGTCATGAGGACTGTCAAAAACGACTACGGCAGATGGCCCTGGACGTAGGTGATGAAGAGATGCTCCATCGGGGCATATTCCATTATGAAGATAAAGATGAAGGTGGAAGTGATGAAGATGATGATGCAGATGAACATGAAGGTGGGGGTGAGGACTCACAATCGCCCCCTCAATTCTCAACACAGGGTGTCTCATTTCATCAACCACCCCCTCAATTCTCAACGCATCAAGGTGTCTCATTTGATGAACCACCGCCGTATTATGATTCTTATCAGTGCTCCACACAAGCGGATGATTATGTTGAGTCATTTCTCAATTCGTCGTTTTAGTATGGAGACACAATGGGGCCTTGGAACACTGGCGGTGGGGACGGAGCAGGGCCGAGCTCGCAACATTAAATGTAGTATTAAATTTAATATTGTATGTAGTGTCTATTCATTAATAAATATACATTGAAAACTACATTTGTTTTGTTCACTTCCATTAAAATTACAAAAATTGCACTTAAAACAAAATCAAATTTTTATCTAATTTGACGAATGGATTAAATCAAAATTGCACTTAAAATTACAAAAATTGCAATTAAAACAAAATTGGCAATACAAATGGATTAAAAAACACTATAAAGCAATCAAATGTTTTGTTACTCAAAAAATCAAAATGCTAAGTTTTCATTTTAAAAAATATGTCAGGAATCTAAAAAAAACTTTTAAATTTGGAATGGATAGAATTTAGCCCTACAACTATTAGTTTTTAAAACTTAAAATAAAAAACTTAAGAATTCCGCAAAAAAACAAAAATTTAAATCCTAGTCGGAATTGGGTAATCCGACCAGGGGAATGGGTAGTTTTTTTCGAAACCCTAAATCCTAGTCGGAATTGGGAGTTCCGAAACCCGTTTTTTGGTAAAACCTAGAAAAATCCCCGTGTTTTGACAACCTCAACCCATTTTTCCCGTTTTTTGGTAAATCACCCAAGACTATTTGTGTTCTAGGGATAATCCAGTTGGGCGTGCAACACATTATAACATGGTAGCATCCAATCACTTATTCCTCACTTTCCCTTCATCTTCTCTGGTTCTCACGATCTTGTTGCTCTCCGAAAAATTCAAGACTTATACTCTAAACATAGTAAGTCGAAGTTTGTAAGTATGAATAAGCTCGATGATGCAATTTTTTGTACCGTCACATGGTTAGCTATGAGAGGGAGAGGATTTGTGTAAACGAGAAACCAGGTTCCTCTCGTCTCTTCAAGCTTAATTCTATTCGGTGGTTGTATTTAGAAATTAAGGTTTGCAGGAAGTCTGTCACCACAAATTTCATGGGATTGCAGAGAGAGTTGAGGTCATTGTTAAATCAAACCTTCAAGGAAATTAACTAGCTAATTACTCCGTAACTTGCAATTTCCGAAGGACTAAAATGCAAAGATGCACAATTTTGATACTACGATGACTTGGATGTCGAGTTGACAACATGTCATCATTTGATTGGAGTAAAATCGAATGTACCGGTACCTTCTATTTTTAATGATGCACCCGGGGTGGGCAAAAATACTAAACCGGCATGATACCGAACCGGACCGGTATGGTACCGGACCGATAAACGGGGTTTGAAACGGATCTCAAATTTTTTTTGTCCCGAACCGGTTCCAAACAATGCCATGACCGGTTCTCATAAAATGAGAACAGGTACCGGACCGAACCGGACCGAAGTATGGTTTATTAAATTTGTACTACTATAGTTTATCTAAAATATACTACGTATTAATTACCTCATCCGTCCCAAATTGATTTACAAAGCCAACATTTTTTGTCAAAGTTAATGTTAAGTTCTTGATAATTAATACAATTTTTAATAATTAAAATTTACATGTTTAGAAACCACATTAAAATCTCTCTAAAGTTGCAAAATCAAAATTAAAATATACGAAGTACGGAGTAGTTTTTTTGAAAGGCCAAATTAGAATATAATTAAAAAGTGAAATTCTAATTAAGTGAATAAAAAGAAATTGTTTGACCAAAAAAGATTGACTTTGCAAATCGATTTGGAACGAAGGTAGTATGATATATGAAAATTGATAAATTGTGTGGATATTTTGGAGGATGGCTAATTTTTTTTTTCTTTCTTAAACACTTGGAAAAAGTGGCATTGTTTGGTATTGATATGGCATGGTATCGTCCCGTTTGAAAATGGACCGTACCAAACGGGTTTGAGTCTAAGACCGAACCGTACCGAACCGTTTCAATAGTAACGATACGGGTACGGGTTCGGCCAAATATTGGACCGGATCGGACCGTGCCGACCCCTATGATGCACCATAGAATTTTCCTTTTCCCGTATCCCTTTTCTTTTCCGAACCCCGTTTTTTAATTTCTTCGCAAATCATTGTTTTAAGAAAACACCCCTTAGTTTGAGTGTTTGACCAATTTTTTCTCCACTTAACACCAAGTTAGGAACCCTAGAATATATATACTGCTATTTAAGCTCTTAGCCTGGTCTCCCGATCAATTGCCGCTAACAAATAGATACAAGAACTGTACGTTCAAAACAAAACAAAGAAGATATGAGAGCTGCGGGCTAGTTTTCTAAACAAAAAGTTACCCATTTTATCTTTTCTATTTAAAAACCGCCCCATATCATCTCCGGTGGAGACGGTGGAGTTCCCCCTTAACGTTGCTCTGCGTGAATTGCAAAAGTCATGTGAAAACGAATCTCCGGCGAACCTGACGATATCGCCGTTCGGTATCTCAGTAATACTCCACATGATTGCCCACGGCGCAGCAGGGCCTACCTTAATTAGATCAACTCCTTCACTTTCTCAACGTAGAAAAGATTGAAGATTTGGATTCAAAGGCCCCAAAGCTAATGCAGATAGCCAAATCTTCCGGCAATCATGGATCGAATGACGGTCCAGTAATCTGCAATTTTAATGCCGTTCTTGCGAATAAAAAATGTACTCTCAAGGAAAGTCACAAAGAATTTCTGGAAAATATGTACCATGCTAAAGTCAAGTACGTCGATTTTTCTCGCGGGGTATGTCCGTATGTGACCATTAATTAAGCTACGGTAGTGATAGACTGATGAACCTTCCTTTTAGGCAAATTAAAACGTATAGACGGCGTTTTATTGAGATTATCCTTCATTAGGGTCTGCTTGAGAATATGTTTTCAACTGCTTGAATGTATACGTTATAGATTTGGAGTAAAAAGTTAGTGGAAACACAAGAAAATCAATAATCATACGATATTCGTTTGAATAAACTTTCTGAAAATTTTAAACCCTTTCAAGTTCAAACCAAACTCACCATTGGTTTTATTGGCTTGATAAATTAAGTTGATAGGGTCTGATATTTGTTTTACTATTTGTTTTATAGATGTACTTTTTCATTCACTACAGCTATGTATATATTTCATTTAGTCTTTAGTACTTTTCTCACGTTTTATACTACTTGTGTTATATATGCGCATACCGTGTTTTTAATAGGGACAGGTTTTCCTTAATTTGCAACTTCTCTTTCTTTCCATTTCCAGGCTGCAGGTGTAGATGAGGTGAATGAATGGGTTATTGATGAGACCAAAGGGCTTATAAAACCGCTTCTTCTTAGGAATGCCTTTGACAATAAATATTTAACCCTTATCCATGCGAATGGGCTTTATTTCAAAGCAACCTGGGAAAACGAGTTTGAGCCATCAAATACACGAACGGAGAAATTCCACCTTCTTGGGGAAAAAGTGGATTACCCACCTGTCGTCGAAGTACCATTCATGATGAAATATGGAAGCACTTACGCACACGCTTCCTTTGACGACTACAATGTTCTTAGGATGCCCTATAAATCAGGGCATGGAGATAGGAAATCAGGAAGACGTTTCTCCATGACCATCATCCTCCCGAATGAAAAGGGTGGGTTGCCAAAACTAGCCGACAAAATGAGACAAAACCCTTGTTGATTTCAAAGACCGTTAATTATAATGGTGTAAGCTAAAAGAATAAACTGAGAGCAGAAGTTGGGATCATCTCGTTTTTCATTATATTGCTTCAAGGAAAAAATAACAAAGCTGGAAAGTATATAAAGGCATTACATTAGTTTCTAGCCACTACTCCTATTATTACTCCATGAACCTATCAATACGGAAGAAACTTTCAAATGTGAAATTGCACAACATGACCCACGCACACAATAAAACAAACTATTTGGATTTAATGATAAAAATAAATAATTAATAAATAACTAAACCAAATAATTAATAACTAAATTTAAGATTATTCCAACAATCACCCCCATAATCTTAAATTTGTGAAGCACTTCTCTTCGTCTGTGATGCACTTCTCACCACCACCAAATTTTGATGCACGTCTCATCAAAATAAACACTTTGGAGCACTTCTCCCCATGGTGCACATAATCACCCATAATTCTAAAGGAGAGGTTCTGCCTCGACCATATGTGCCAAGACTTCGTCATCAGTTTGGAATCTACAATTCTTTGCCATATGCCCAAACCTTTTGCATTTGAAGCATTGTGGCTTTCCCTTGTGCCAACAATCCTTTTCTTCATGACCAACCTTGTGACAATGGTTGCATTGAATTTTGCTGCCAGTTCCTTTTGAGAATGAAGATTTAGCTAACAAGAGTCCCTCATATTTTCCTCCATTTTCTTCCTCCCTCATTGATCTCCTTTGGTCAACGGCATGAAGAGAATTGATTAATTCTAAGACGGTTAATTTTGAGAGATCTTTAGTATCTTCAAGTGAAGAGATCTTGGTCTCATATCTCTCCGGAAGAGTTACCAGGAGCTTGTCCACAACTCTTTGACTTGAAAAATCTCCACCAAGTAATTTGATTTGATTGACAATGGACATCAACCTATTCCCATATTCTTTGACACCTTCGTTACTTTTCATCCCCACCATCTCAAACTCCCTTTTGAGGTTGAGAATTTGCATGAGTTTGGTTTGTTGGTTGCCTTCGAACTCCTCTTTGATTTTCTCCCATGCTTCTTTAGGACACTCACAACCCATGATTGTTGTGAAAATCTCCTCGGACACCGCTGCATGGATACATGAAAGTGCCTTTGGCTTTCGTGCCATTTCTTCTTCATGTTTCTTGATTTGGGCTACTGTTGGATTTCCTGGAAGAGGAGTAGGCTCACTGTCACTCTCAATGACATCCCATAAACTAATAGCTTTCATGTATGCTTTCATTTTGATAGCCCATGAAAGATAGTTATCACCTTTGAACAATGGAATAGAGATGGAGAAGTTACTTGATGCCATTGAATATCACAAGCTCTTTAGATCTAGGCTCTGATACCAAATGTTGATTTCAAAGACCGTTAATTATAATGGTGTAAGCTAAAAGAATAAACTGAGAGCAGAAGTTGGGATCATCTCGTTTTTCATTATATTGCTTCAAGGAAAAAATAACAAAGCTGGAAAGTATATAAAGGCATTACATTAGTTTCTAGCCACTACTCCTATTATTACTCCATGAACCTATCAATACGGAAGAAACTTTCAAATGTGAAATTGCACAACATGACCCACGCACACAATAAAACAAACTATTTGGATTTAATGATAAAAATAAATAATTAATAAATAACTAAACCAAATAATTAATAACTAAATTTAAGATTATTCCAACAATGACCCTCATCTCTTGTCTTGCAAGCACATGCTAAATATGGAGTATGAGATGATTTCTATCTTACAGGTTCCGAAGTTCACTTTCTCTTATCGTTTTCTACCATCAGAGACAATGAAAGAGTTAGGGCTAACATTGCCTTTCAAGGATTTGGAATTTGACCTTACCGGTATGGTGGAAGAAATGCCACTGTTTGTCTCAAGAATCACACAACATAGTCAAATGGAATGTGATGAGGCAGGTACAAAAGTGTTGAGTGTAACCTATGACTCAGACGAGGAATGCGGCTTAGGCTTGGATGATTCACCGTCGCCACCACCGATCAACTTTATAGCCGACCATCCATTCATGTTTGTCATCAAAGAAGATGTGTCTGATACCATACTATTTCTTGGTGCAATAAATAATCCTCAACTAGTGGGATGAAGCTCTATATCATTCTAATTTTATCGGATTTCATAATAAAATCCATAGCTATAATTGTCGGAGTTTGTAGCTCTAGCATAGAACTAGATTATTTCAATCTCAATTTATCATAGGAGACAATAACTATGGGCATATAGCCAACAATTTTAGTCCAATATAATGTTAGTCAAATTAATATGTATTATTGTTGTTTTTGTTGTTGTTATTGTGATGACGATTATAACTGCTTATACAGAATATTCCCCAAATAAGACTGAACCATAGATAAAATAGACAAAATTATATGTTTTCCTAAGATAGTTAGAACTCATTCATCAGTAATTGGGGAAGTTACGTGCTTTTAATCTACAAGTAAAAAATAAGTATGTTCTATTTTGAGAACAAAATATAATTAACCTTGTATTTGTGTATTTTGTCTCTATTTTAATATTATTCGAAATATGGAGTAACTTTCTTTTATTAATATTGTTCTTATTATCACCTTCATCATGATTATTTTTATTAAAACACTCATATATGGTAATGTTGTATTACGATATACATCTTTTGCGTACTACATACGGAATATATATGATTTAAGGTCCATATTGCGACGACCCAGTTGTTAAATGCTTCTATATATTTTTTATGTTAATCTTGAAATGGTAATTTAGTGGTTCTATTTGAAAATTAAAGATCTCGGCTAAAGGAGTGCTTGCAAAAAATTAAAAAGTGATTTTTAAGTGACATCTTCTAATTAAATTAAGTATTTAAAAGCTAAAAGCTAAAAATTGGTGGGAGTGGTTTAAACTATTTTTCACTTTTTCTATTACCCAAAAAATAAATTTTTTTTAAACACTATCAACTTTTACTTTTTTCAGAAGCACTTTTCTAAAACACAACAAACTTTCACTATTTAACACTTTCTCAAAAATCACCTTTTTAAAGTAGAAGTAATCACAAACATTTCCTTAGTATTTTGACTTGCTCACAAAATGATAAGAGGGTACATGTAGGGGTGGGCAAAATAGTTTGGTTTAACCGGATCGAACCAAAAGTTAGTCGTTTGATTTTGTTTGGGTTTACTTAAATAAATCATTTGGTAACAAATTGCTCAAACCGAATGACTTGGTTTGGTTTGGTTTAAAACCGAACAACCGTAAACCGAACCGAACACCGAGCAATTTATAATATACTACGTATATAATTAAAAATACTTTTTGTATTTATATTCACTCTTCATCTTTAGGATATAAATAAATATGTTAGATATGAAAAATACATGCATGTGTAGTATATATCATTTTATCTTTCACACATTCAATTCTATACAATAATTATGACAAAGTTAGCTAATATTTGTATTGTTATATTTTGTACTCTACCTGTATAAAAAGATGTTTGGCGATAACAATAGAAAATGACATTTATATTTTATACATCATTCATTTGAATGAAATTGTGAATTTTAGTGATATTATAAATGTTAATTAACTATAAATTTATTTTTTGTGAGAGGTGAATCTTTTTTCTAGTGATCGAAAACATGCTAAATGATTTAATGTCATCAGTATTAGTAAGATAAATTAGGTGTTAATTTATAATATTTCATTATTTCTTTTCCTATCTTGTATTTCTCTTTACATCTTATTTAAATAATGAATGCAAGAAGATGAGATGGACTACTATTTTTATTTTCTAATTCTTGATAATTCAAGGATTCAGAGGTACGATCCTATAGAACAGATCCTATTCAAGCTAAGTAAGGTCGTATTTTCTAATTCTAAAATATTGATGAACTTGATCAAATAAAATAAGAAACACAAGGAATCAAATCAAATCGAACCTAATAATTTTCACTTTGATAAACCAAATTCAAATCGAACCGGAACAAAACCGAAACCAAACCGAACCTAACATTTCTGTTTGGTACAATATCTCCCAAACTGAATAAAGCGAAACCGAAGTGAATTTCAAAATAGAAGTAATATACTTTGTTCTCTAAATAAGAATAATCAATGACAATTTTAGATATTATTAATTTTTAAACATAGACAATATTGTGTACAAATGAGTCCTTACTGTGTATTTACCTAGGCGTTGCCCAATGGCTCGTATTGAGGTTGTTTGAATACGTACTTAGTAAGATGTATATTTTCTTCCGTAAATAAATAATTCATCCCGGGTCATATAAAACTTCTATCTTCGTTGTGAATAGTAACATAATTAAAGAGAAGGGATAAAAAGTAACATTGACATTTTACTCCACCAAAGTTTAGCCTGGGGTTGTATAAGAATTGAACCGGATACTTGACAATATTATTTGTATTCGTATAATTATCGAATCTTCGTATTCCTATTCGTTTAATATTCAAATCTCATTTCGTATTCGAATTCGATATGGCTGAAAAAGAAGTTCAGGAAGCTTAGATTAAATATCAGAATATCTCTTCTGAGGAAAATAGGGAGGAATGGTTCTTAAAAAAAGCTTTTCTCTTATCCAAGTATAAATTGGAAAGAAAGTTCTGGAAGCAGAAGGCTCATATCTCTTGGCTTAAAGACGGGGACTCTAATTCTCAATACTTCCACTCCACGGTCAAAATAAGGAGGAAACAATTTATTACTTCTATTCTAGATTCAGAAGGGAAAGAATGTCTGACTTTACCTGATATTGGAAATGCTGCTGTACAGTTCTTCTCCAACCTTTATGCTGTGGAAACTGAGGTTCAGACTGAAAGCTTTCTTCAACATATCCCTGCATTGCTTAGTGAAGAAGACAATAGAGAGTTGATTCAGATTCCTTCTGAAAAAGAAATAAAAGAGGCAGTTTGGAGTCTTAATCAAAATGGGGCTTCAGGCCCGGATGGTTTTTCTGGGAAATTTTTAAAAAAATGCTGGAACATTGTTGGAAAAGATTTAATTTCTGCAATTCAAGAATTCTTTTTGGGTATTCCTCCTCCTAAGGGAATGTCTAGCTCTTTTGTGGTCTTGATCCCTAAGGTTGAGTTCCCTAATACCTTTTCAGACTTTAGGCCTATTTGTCTATCAAATTTCACAAGTAAAGTGTGCACTAAAGTCTTGGCTACCAGATTATTATAAATTATGCCTAAGATTATTTCTGCAGAACAGGTTGGGTTTATGCAGAACAGAGACATAGCAGATCAAGTCTTGATTGCTCAGGAGATGATCCATGCTATTGATAAGAAAATTAGAGGGTCCAATGTAATTATAAAGCTAGACATGGCCAAAGCGTTTGATAAACTTTCTTGGAAATATTTATTTCATATTCTGACTAAATTTGGCTTTGATAAGCATTTTGTTAATCTGGTAAAAGGCCATTTACAAGATACCTATCTTTCCATTATTGTAAATGGGGTTCCTCAGGGCTTCTTTTAGCCTAAAAGGGGGGGTGAAGCAAGGAGATCCTCTGTCCCCTTTTCTTTTTATTATAGCTTCTGAAGGTTTCTCTAGGGGTTTGAAAGCCAGGATGGAGATGGGCAGGATTAAACCATACTGGATGGGGAACATTGGGTTTCCAATTTCACATCTTGGTTTTGCTGATGATTTGTTAATTTTTTTGAATGGGAGTTCCAGGTCATTGATCAACTTCAATAATTTCATCAAAGATTATCAAGCTGCTTCTAGGCAAACTGTGAACTTACTGAAAAGTTCATTTATCTGTGGGAAGCATGCTGTCTATAGGTCCTCTCTTATTCAGGATCTCTTGGGTATGAAGAAAACTGAGCTTCCAATGAAATACCTAGGAGTCAACCTTCACAAAGGGATTAATAGAATTCAGTATTGCAATGATATTATAAAAAAGTTTGATGATAAGCTTACTACATGGAAGCAAAGGCATTTAACCCAAGGAGGAAGGCTTATCTTAGTCAAACATGTTCTGAATACCATTCCCCTGCACATTCTTGCTGCTGATACTCTTCCAAAACAAGTGATATCTATCTTGGAAAATAAAATGGCTGCCTTTATGTGAGGATCAGAAAATGGTAATCACAGAGTTCATTGGTCAAATTGGTCCAAATTATGTTGTCCCACTGAAGAAGGAGGATGGGGGATCAGATCTCTTTCCTCTTTGGAAAGAGCATATTCTATGAAAATCTGGTGGAAATGGAAAACTCATGACTCACTTTGGACCTCCTTTTTTAAAGCCAGGTATCCAAGGAATAATATGCAGCCTAAAATTACTGATTCTCCCATTTGGAGAAGAATCTGCAACATTGATCAGCAAGCTATAGAATTGTGTTCTATTAATGAATCTGGGCATATAGTATGGGATCCTGGCAAAGAGGGGACTTTTACACTTGCCTCTGCCTATAATGAATCAAGAGAGGACTTTCTTCCTACATTTACAAACAAGCATATTTGGCATAAAAATCAACCTATGCAGATCAAGGTTTTCACTTGGAGGTTGATAAATAACTGTTTGCCCATTACTGAATCTATGCTAAGGTTTTAGTTTGTTCTTAGACCATCCATTTGTCCTCTTTGCAG